GCTGCATTTGTTCGGTGGGTACAAATCTAGAGCTAAGCTTTACAAAAAGCTCATTAACAGATCCAGCAGCTTTTCCTCACCTCTAGAGATGTTCCCATGACAATGAGTAAGTCTGCTATCGGGAAGTCTGTAAGGTAGGTGAAGAATTGCTGAGGGAGCTCCTCACCAAAGAACACAATGTCAGGCTTGATGATTCCTTTACAAGTAGGGCATTTGGGTATTGTTCCTTCCATGATATCATTCTAATGGGAGACAGCCATAAATCAGGAGATTAACTCATTATTATTTCAACAACCATACCATAAACAAATCACAGCAAAAGAATATTCAGTCAGAATCAGGTTGTGAAATGCTTGTTTATAAAGGAGTGTGAGTTTATTTGAAGTGCAGTTCCAGGGGTAAAATATTCAATGCCATAGTGCAACGACACATACTTACCCTGAGTTCCTCTCCCTCGTAATCCCTTCGGCAAACCGTGCATGTGGCCGTGGCAAATGTTCCATGTGCCTCCACCAACATCTTTGGGGGAATACCAGCCACTGTAATCAATGAAAGATCAATGACATTTATAAATGATTTACACAAACGTCGACCCTGCTAGACTTTTTGATAATAATAAATAACAGATTTCATTCAAATAGCCTAATTATTATATGAATCTGGAGCCAGTTGCACCAGCTCTGTGTAAGTTACAACTTAGTTTTGAGTAAAGGGGTACTAAGTTACAACTTGTGTACTACTACATATTTTTGAGTTGCACTATTTAAGTTTAACTTGAACTTGTTGAAACATAACTCTGTGTATAAACTAAATATTTATTTTATTCAATAGGCTCTTGTTTTACCTGACAGACTTCAGTCACTAGACATATATGATATTTACACTCATTCGCATTTTAAAAGAGAACATTGTCAATTTGTTAGCAGCTTTTCAACACAAACATGACCTTAACAGAATGCCTCTCTGAGCATCAGTCCATGTTGTGCATGTCAAGTAAAATAATCAGAACAAATGAATGTATTTTTTTATGTTTCTCTTTGTATCAGTATTTATCCTTATTAATTTCAAATACAGTTTATGAATTTTATCTATGTATAAAATTACCTATTATTTTTTCAATGGAAATGTATTTTTACCATTAGTTACGTGAGACAAAAGAACTTCACTCACTTCGCTCGAGTCCATCAATGTTTTGCGTGTACATCCTGAGTAGTTGTCCCTTATCATGAAGCAGGCGAATGAAGTAGTGTGTCAGATTGGGTTGGTAATTACCAGGATAAAGCTCTTTGGCAAGAGCAAAAAAAGGGTTTGGATTGTGATGAAAGTAATTTATTTCAAATATGGCCTCAGCATAGGGCAGATTGTACTGTTGAAGGTTGTCATAAAGACCGCTGCCAGGCGTTCTGTGGGAGAAATATGATTTGAGAGAAGATGCAACCACCTCAAAGGTGGACCATTATGAGTCCTTCTTTACCTGAAGTCTGGGATTCCACTGGGTGTGCTGATACCCGCCCCTGCCATCACCACAATTCTTTTGAACTTGCGTTCTCTGATATTTTCTGCAATGTCCTCCAGAGTCTGCTGGCCAATGTTACCACGGCCTCCTCCGAACAGCCCTCTTACGCCACCACATCTTATGAAGGCAGCTCTATCAGGTCACAATGTTTGATTAACCTTCAAATCACTGGGAAATTTCTGGGATTCAATGGGATCATAACTGGGGGTTAAAAAAGAAAAGAAACAATACTTACGGACAATATAGGAATTGTGAAAGAAATACAGCACCCATTTGTGCATGAGGGATATGTGACAAGATCTTTTGATGGGCACGGTTTGTCCTTGATAGATCTGAGGAAAAGCATCATTGTAAGATTCTCTCCTACCACGGGTCAAAAAGAACAGCATTACATACTAATCAATCACCCAAAAATAAACTACTTTGCAAACATAAAAAAAAATATGACATGCATTTTTAGGACGCTTTGCTTCTCTATGTACATTATTATTGTTTTAAGGATGTTTGGATACTTTAACTCGAAAACAAGACTAGGACAAATATTAGTTTTCAGCGCAGAAACAGTAATTCATCATTAGTGTACAAATAAGTGTGTATACCACGATTGCCAGTAACGACACTGGCTTTTGTAACATAAAGTAGCTCCAGCAGAAACATAAAGACTATTTCAATAACAAGAAAATACATTCAGTAGTAGACAGTCCTCTTCTCCATAAGGATTTCTCTGTAAAACTGCATCTGCACACATTTAGACCCGTTTTTAAGTACAGCATAATGGACTCTGGCTAGACTCCTACTTTGTCAAAAGGCATACATTATTTCAGCGAATTTGCTGTAGTAAATAAAAACATGCAGGAACAACAAGAGGCAGACTGGTGACGCAGTTATTACCGTAACAGACATATGGAGTTTCCACCAAATTATATGCCGCAATTTGTCTATTCATTCTCACCTGTATGCACTGAAATATACTGTATCCATAGAACATGACTATATTATGGTTATTACAGGCTTTTAAATACGCTTTATGTATAACTGATTTTAGTT